TTACCGAAAGACCGGGTGAAGTCGAGCCCGGGGTGAGTCCTGAGGTAATGAAAATGCTCGAAGCGTTGCCGAAACGGGTGGAATTAGGTGAGAAAAGGATTGAGGCTAATGACAAAAAGGTGAAAACATACAATTCTAGGGTCGATCAGATCCAGGGAGCACCCCCGATATTGAAGGGGCCGGAATCCAAGAAATTTATCCAGAAGCCTTTTTCCTCCGAACGCGGCACCAAAGCCAATCCAAAAGAGGTTTCGCAAGCCCGATATCCCCAAATACAATGGGACCACGGATCCAAATAAATATGCGACCTTCTATACATGCACGATCAAGGGGAACAGCTTGGAAGACAATGAGATCGAGTCAGTGTTATTGAAGAAGTTTGGGTTGACTTTGTCCAAGGAAGGAATGATATGGTATCACAAATTGCCCATAAATTCTATTTATTCGTTTTCTATGCTTGCAGATGCTTTCGTAAAGGCCCATGCCGGGGCCATCAAGATCGAGACCAGAAAGTCAGATAGATCTCTTCAAGGTCACACAAAGGGATAACGAGATGCTTAGGGAGTTCGTGTCAAGATTCCAGATGGAACTGATGGACCTACCACCAGTTGCAGATGATTGGGCAGATCAGGCATTCACTTAGGGACTCAACCCCCAAAGTTCTTTGGCCTCTCAACAGCTAAAACACAATTTGTGGAGTACTCGGTGGTAACCTGGGCCGATGTCCACAATAGGTACCAGTCGAAGATCAGGGTCGAGGACGACCAACTAGGGGCACCTTTTGGATTTGTTTACCCCATCAGGGCCTATGATAGATCCAAGAGAGCCATTGATCATGAGCCAAGATCGGTTCGAGATCGGTATCAATCATACAGCGCATACCGAATGGGAAATGAATATTGGCGTCACCCCACAAAGAACAAGAAGAGAAGCGATCGAGGGCCCAGTGGCCGAGGTCTGATGACCAAAAATGGGTTCGACAGACCGCTCGCGAGTAGGGAAGCACCAAGATTATCGGAGTACAACTTCAACGTGGACGCTACCAGCATCGTGTCAGCCATAGGGCGCATCAAAGAGACTAAGTGGCCCTGACTATTTTAGTCCAACCCTACTGAGAGAGATCCTAATTTGATGTGTAAGTATCACAGCACTCATGGTCACAGGACCGAATATTGCCGACAGTTTAGAGAAGAAGCTACCCGATTATCCAACAACGGGTACCTCCGAGAATTCCTAAGCGAGCGAGCTAAAAATCACTTCAGGAATAGGGACCCCAACAAACAGGTCGAACTAGAGGAACCTCAGCACGTGATCACCATAATAATCGGAGGGGTCGATGTTCCCCAGGACCAATGATGAAACGCACTAAAGTATCTATCATAAGGGAAAAATGCACTCGAGATTATATTCCGGACGGAGCCATTTTGTTCAGCGACAAAAATGTCGAGGGCATCGTACAGTCTCACAGCGATGCACTGGTAATATCCGTACTTATCAATAAATCTTGAGTTAAACGTATGTTGATTGATTAAGGTAGCTCGGCCAACATAATCATATCAAGGGTCATAGAGTAGTTTGGGTTACTGAACCAAATCGTATCGGCAGTCTAGGTATTGAACGGATTTAACATGGAATGTGAAACCACGAAATGAGAGATAACCTTACCAGTAAACACCGCCGGGACAATCCAAGAAATAAAGTTCTACATGATCGAAGGGGACATGAGGTACAATGATCTATTCGAAAGGTCGTGGGTTCACAACATGAGGGCGATACCCTCGACCTTGCATCAGGCGTTGAAATTTCCCACACAATGGTGAGTCAAAACGGTCTACGGAGTACAGCCATCCGCAAGGGAGATGTTTGCCGTCGACGAGGTAATCCCGGTGCCCGCGGTTTTGACGTCAAGGAACACGGGATCGACCAAAAAGAAAGAGATTAAATAGCAATCACTGATACAGCCTCGATCGAACCGGAAAAACGGAAAGATCGAGGAGAAGACGAGGAGGACGATTATGGCGTCCCGAGATTATTCATAGCTCCTAATGACACTGATGCCACCAAATTAACGGTTGAAGAGTTGGAACAAGTCATATTAATCGAGCATCTATCGGATCGAAAGGTATACCTGGGCACAGGATTAACCCCCGGGCTCATGGAAAAACTTATTAATTTTCTTAAAGCTAACGCCGATTTTTTTGCTTGGTCCCATCTTGACATGACAAGGATCCCATTGAAGGTAACACCGACTTATGGGACGTTCCGTTGACCCAACAACTCGGTCGTAATGTACGAAGGAAGGAACCGGGGTTCACTTTTCATTTCCCGTCGATTTGATAAATATACCGTCCGAAAAATGAGGGGACTATCTATGTACGGGTAAAATCGAGGGCAATGTCCACCCCAATTCCCCAATGAAAGAACGAAGAGGGGAACACGGACCCGGGTGATTATAATCGGGGCTAGAGACCCGTCGAGATCCGGGAAGGATGAACGATATGTCCGACATCGGACACGGTAAAGTGACGAACCCTGGACCGAATATGACTTCTAGACCTCGGGAGATGCGGTGGACGGTTATGCAGGTCAGATAGGGGGCCGCAATAATCGCCCACAAACAGATATCACAGCGCGAATCTCGCTTGATGTCGATTAAGAAGAAGATTTTTACCTTTTTTAGACTTGTACTATGACTGAAACTCTCCTACTATATAAAGGAAAAAAATTTCTTTAGTCTGACATATTGTAACATGCAATTCAAGACAATAAAAGTTTATTTTTATCTTCTAGCAACTGTTAAGAACTTTGCTCTCTTATACTATTCTTCATTCACGACTAGGCTCGAACCGAGGGTCCAATCGAGGAAGAAGTCGCTGTTCAATCTAAAATCAAGCTTAATTATAACATTGCGATTGGTTTGATCGTTTATTTTTCCTTTAATTAAATTCATCTGCTATTCTTAATTATTCGTGTTGAATTAAGCCACGCATCCTTAAAACCGCATATAAATTTAATTGTTACCTAATTTTGGGGTAGACAAAAATCAAATTAGAATTAGTTAACTGCCCATATATAAATAAAGTCATGTTAGGTATGCTTAATTCTCGTTTTACATCTTCCTTTTCGTAGTTAACTTCTCGGAAGAAATGAAGAAAAGGGGAAATTCAGTGAACTCTTGGCTTCTCCTTGAGATTGTTGTACTAAGTTTGACTTAAGCAAATGGGACATTTATATGATTATGCTACATTTCAACAACTAAAATAATTTTCAAAAGTCATGATTTGATATTCTTCAAATTATTTTGTTTACAGTTGATTTATTCCCATTGAAATGACTAGTCATACATGCTGCACATGATTTTATTTGCAGTGGTCTTACCAGATAGTTTTCATTTTTTTAGGTTGTTTACATGTTTAGCCTAATCTATAACTAAGTTAGTGTTGGCCTACTTTGTAGTTCTTAGGTTTAGGTTATTTAGATTAAGTCAGTAGTAAAGTTGTGTCGAGTCTGTTCATTTTAATATGTACATTAGTTACCAAATTCTATTAAGGTTCATAAGTACACTGTTGTTTTATTTATGGACAAAGTCCTTTTTTGTGGTGTTTCATTTATGAGTTATGACAATCTAGACACTTCACGTGAATTCATGTGATGGTTTTGGCCCGAAGTTTGACTTCGATGAGACGAAGAACAATTTTCTTTAAAAATTTAAGGCTATATTGCATTTAGGAAAGACATCAAATTCAATTTTATGCCGTTACCTCTTTTAGTAATGAGTCTAATTAATGACTAATTATGAACATTAATGGAGTAGCTCTTATGTTTGTCAGTTTATGCTCTCCCCATTTTATACGAACCTTAGATTAGGATTTCTTAAGTATTCTTTAAACTGCATAGGCTAACTTTTTCTTTTTTTTCAAACCTTAGTCGTAAGTAAATATGCTTTTTAAAAAAAAAAAAAAAAAAAAAAGTGGATTAAACTAGGTTTTTTATTGTTGTTGTTGT